TTGATCTGTCAGAAATAAACAAAACATTAAAAAAATTTTAAGAAAGTGTAATTAAGATTCCAAATCAGCTGATCTTAAGATAAAGGCAATATTGGGGAAAGCCTGATGTGATTATATGAGCCCATTAAATCTGGGCTTAGCAGTCCGGGGAAGGGGAAACGAGATCTACTTGAATCAAGAGTAGGTTTTAAGCCATGAGAAATTTTCCATTGCTGGCTTTGAAGATCAAGTAGGGCACATAACAAGAAGATAGGTGACTTTTAGGGTCTGTGAGTTCCAGCTAACATCAAGAAAATGGAGACCTCCATCATACAACTGTGAGGAAATAAATTCTACCCACAATTTCAAGGAGTTTTCAATCTGCCTCAAGACTGCAACATAGAAACCCTGCCTAAACTTCAACCTACCAGCCTGTCCTATAAAATGGCAACATTATCTCCTTCCTAAATTTCCAGCCTGTTGGCTTGCCCTGAAGGTTTTCAACTGCCCACCTCCTTATCTGTGTGAGCCAATTCCTTAGTTTCCATCCCCAATTCTTACCTACTCAAAACTTACCTAGTTTCAACATATTCTATTCAGGTTTTAGTTACTAATTTTTAACAGTAAGACTTTTTATAAAACTGATGGATATAAAGAGAATTTTTTCTCTTGGACAGGGTTGCTATATTTAGAGAATAAAATACAAGGCACTGAGTTAAGTTTGAAATTCAGATACACAATGCATAATATTTTAGTATAAGTACCTCAATAATACACACTTACACTAAAGAAATTCCATTATTTATCTTATATTCAAATTTAGCTGGTGTCATTTTATCTAGCAACTACATTGAGAGTACTTTTTTCTCTTGAGTTTTAAGAATGCCCCCCCCCATTTTTGTTTGCTTAAGATTTAGAAAGAAATTGTTTAAATATTTAGACTGGTATTTGTGTATTTAATGGTTATGGTATTCAGCATATAATTAAACCAGTTGTATTTTAAATTGTAATACTTCTGGAGGCAATAATACAGAAACTCATGTTGTTTTGAAGTCATTTTTAAATACTGTTACATATTTATGTGCATGGAGCCTACAGAAAGTTAAAAGGTTCTATGAGATATCCTGAGACCTTAAAAACAAACAGCACATATTGCTAAGCACACATTATCTAGAAAGCACTACAATTCACTTGTGTAAGAAGCGTTCAAACAACAGTATTATATACTTCTTGTTTTTCCCAAACAGACTGAAGACACTGCAACTCTATTTTTCCCTTTCATGTAGATGGAGGCAATGTGAAGAGGGCACATTCATATCACCAGAATTCCAGAAATCAGACCACAATCATGGTTGTGGCAGTTTCATAATCTTTCACATTGCAGGTTGGCTCATTTTTCAAATACATAAAATAGCACCAACCTCAAACAAAACAGAACCAACTCAAACAATCTCATAAGTCAGATTTCCAATTAGTTTCTGTTAAGCACAATTGTTTCCCACACCGGAAAAATAAGCAACATACATTTGAAAAGAATGGGTCCACTAATATGTGGATTTTTAAAAATAAATCCAGCACAGTACTGTAAATATATTATTCCTTATGATTTCTTTAATGAGATTCTTTTCTCTAGATTATTTTATTGTAAGAGTACAATGTATAATACGTGTAACATAATGTGTTAATTAACCATGTTATTCAGAAGGCTTCTTGTCAAAAATAAGCTTCAGTGGTTAAATTCTGGGGGAGTCAAAAGTTATACGTGGGTTTTCCACTGTGAAGGGGTTTGGCATTTCCAACCTTGTGCTGTTTGAGGGTCAACTGTATTTCCAAAGAAATTTTAAAAAGGAAGAAAGGCAAAATGACTGTCAGTAGTGAGGTAGAAAGGGTTTTATTGCTTCAGTTATGCTCAGAATTGCTTTACTGATCTGGACAATATCAATGGCAGTTGACCCATCAGGTAAAGGTAAACATGAGAGTGGAAGGCAAGTCTGCAAGTAAGGATGAGACAGGCACGGGTAAATTTCAAGCATTACTTGCCAAGAGCAGGACAAATTACACAAATAAGGAACATTCTTGTATTAAAAGAGGTTTTTTTGGGGGAGGGAGATAATACCTCAAATACATCAAAATAAATTTTAGGGATAATTAGCATACCTGTATTTATTTTAGCAGCCACCTTACCTTATTTTTTGAAACAAACCTCTTAAATTTACATAAGACCTAAATGCGTTACCATCATTTCAATTTCTTATTGTTGCTACAGGACTTCATGAAAATAGACTTCAAAGCCGATTTTTTCTGCTTCAAAATGTCATCAAGAAATCCCTCTTTTATTTTACTGTATAAAAACTGATTGTCAGCTTAATAGAGAAATAATAATATTTGGCTACCAGTAGCCTCGATAAACGTCAATACAGCCTCATGAATTCTTTTTGTAAGTTGTGATGTTTTTTTAAATGTTTGAAAGGTATATTTTTGTCTAATAGATGATTTAATTACATAATAAAAGCATATAATTGTGATTGCCATTTTATATGAATGATTAGTGATAATATTATTAATTTAAAAAACTTAATCGCCTATGAAAAAAATGGCTTTGCTTTAGATTTGTTTCTAAATTTATTTATGGAAATCTTAAATTGCTGAGAAAAGTTCCAAGATATAAATATTTGGAGCATCTTAGTGGCTCAGTTGGTTGAGCATCCAACTCTTTATTTTGGCTCAGGGCATGATCCCAGGGTTCATGTGGGATCGAGCCCCACATTGAGCTCTGTACTTAGTGTTAAACCTGCTTGAGATTCTCTTTCTGCCCCTCCTCCCCTCTCCCACTCTAACTCTCTCTGTCTCTCAAATTAAAAGAAAAAGAAAAAGAAAAAAATATTTTATAGCTCTGGTTAAGGTTAAAAGCAACTGGGAAGAGCAGTTAAATCTTTTCTCCCTTATATAAAAGTCCAAAATCCATTTGTGAATAATGGCATGAAATTATGAAGTGATATTTGACCCTAAACATTAGGATAAAATTATATTTATGAAGTTACCTGTGGTGTCTAGAGCAAAACTGTTAAACTTCAATAAAATTAAATTTTCTGCATGAATAGTCTGTAATTACTATGAAAAGTTTCCAAAACTATAATTTAATTTAAACTACATTGTTGTTCAAGAAGTTATATAGCAGGATATTTGTATTTATAGGGCCTCTCTAATTGTAGTCTTAACTTTTTATTTAATTGTTCATAGATCAGCTAGAATACTTTGCTATTTTGTAAGATTTTAAAGTTTTACTATTCAACTCTTTGGGGTATACTCTTGTCTTTATTCATATGAAAAATTTCTATTAGTCTTAATAAGAATTGCAGGGAGTTCTGTCAAGGGAGTTATATCCCCATGTCTCTACCAAAGAAATTATTCAACCCTTTGATTGTAATAATTATCCACTTCAGCTACTGCCTTATGTACACATAGACAACCATGTTCATCTCATGAATAGTTATAACATAGTTATGGTAATATCTTTATATAGAGAAGAACATGTTTTAAATACAAAGTAATGTCTCACTTTCAGCTATAGCTGGATGAAACTTAGCTTATAAGTAGATATAGTCCACCTTGGAGTAGACAGCACCCTCAGAATTAAAATTGTATAAGTAATTTGAAATATTAAAAGGAATGGTGATAAATAATGTTTTTTATCATAAGATTTTACAGTTAGCTATTGTCATCTGTCAAATGTAATGGGAGACACCTTTACAAGTCCCTTGACATTACAAATTAATGAAGTTAACTTCCTAAAAGAAATATTAGCATGCAACTCATAATTCTGGCAATGTACAAAGCTAAGGAATTTTTTATAACTTTATAGGCTCTAGTGAGATGGTTCCGTACCAAAAAATATATCCATGGTTCTTCACACATTGACACTATTGCTAAGAACACTGATACTAAGCTGTTAGGCAGCTGCTGAAAGTTAGGGGCTGTTTTTCTCTTTGTCAGTATGATAAGGAAATAAAGTAAATATTTCTAACACATTCATACTAGTGTCTGCCATAGAAGTGTTCTATACATTTTTATTTTTAGCTAAATCAAATTTCCAACCTGTTTGCTCTGCGAACATATATTTAAAAACAAAAATGTATTAAGAATGTATATAGGGGCACCTGGGTGACTCAGTCGGTTGAGCATCCGACTTCAGCTCAGGTCATTATCTCACGGTTTGTGGGTTTGAGCCCTGCATTGGGCTCTGTGCTGATAGCTCAGAGCCTGGAGCCTGCTTGGGATTCTGTGTCTCCCTCCCTCTCTGACCCTCCCCTGCTCACGCTGCCTCATCCTCTCAGAAATAAATAAAACATTAAAAAATTTTAAAAATGAATGTATATAGAACTAAGACAAGGAATTTAGAAATACATAGTAAATTGTCATTGACTGCTCTCATGCCTCTACATTGTTAGTGTTGTAAGGAGGGCAAGAAGGAGACAGTTAATGAACCAAGTCAAATTATCAAAAGTAATATTGAATGGGTGTGATATGAGTATGCTATTTTATCTATAATGATTAGGAAAAAAATCTGAATAGTTGATATTTTAATGGATAAGTTTTTAAAAAGCAAGGCTGACCCATAAAAATATCTGGTGAAAGAAGTGTCCAGATTTAGAATAGAAAACAGCAAGCATTGTGCTAGGATAATTCCTGATGTGTTTGAATGCAGGAAATAATCCAGTGGGACTGAAACAGAATAGGGAGAGGGAAGAGGAAAGTCATGGGAAAAGATACTGAGAATGAACAAAGGTGGAAGTCACTGATTAAACTCAATGTTTAGTGTTATATTCTTTGTAATAACCTGTATTTAAAAAATTAATTTGTCAAGGAAAAAATCAAATGAGTTTCTCTATGTGATACTAAATTAATTTTCAGAGAGATTATACCCTCTCCTATGTTATAAAATTACAGGGTGGGATATTAAATTACACATTTTTTTAAAATGTTTTTATTTATTTCTAGGAGAGAGAGAGAGAGACACTGTGAGCAGGGGAGGGTCAGAGAGAGAGGGAGTCACAGACTGAAACAGGCTCCAGGCTCTGAGCTGGCTGTCAGCACAGAGCCCGATGCGGGGCTCGAACCCACGAACTGCGAGATCATGACCTAAGCGAAAGTCGGACGCTTAACCGACTAAGCCACCCAGGCGCCCTTATTACACACTTTTTTAATTTTCAAATTTTTCAGGAAAATGAATTAGCCAGTGTGCAGTTTAGCTTTCTCAGTACATATTGTTGAGAAATGGGGAAACGTCTCCAGATAGAATTTATTTAACTGGACTATTTTTTGGAACTTAAAACTATAATAATCTTTTAGAAATATCAGAATTCTATAATAATCTTTGGAGTAATTACCCTATATGTTAAAAAAAATAATTCAAAGTTTCTATCAGCAGTTAGAAGTAACTACAGTTTTGAGCCACTNGGTCTCCTTGATGACTTATAAAGTTAGTGCCAAAACCTCTATACAGAATTTGTTTGGCTTTCCCTGTTCCGGGCATATTCCTGTTTCACATTTTCATGTTGCCCCATCTTTCTATGGTTCTGTCTGTTATCTATACACAGAAATCCTGAAATTTAATGATCTTTATCATTCTCCGATTAATTATGTGAGGTGAGACTTTAACTCAATTAGCATATATCATGTGGAGAGTGCTTTATGTATTTCAAACACCACTAACATTCTCCTGTTCCAACTTGATTCATAGCACAGCAGTCACCGAGCCTTAAAGACTGTTCTCCTGAGATCTGTCTTTTTCCTCTCTCTTTTTTTAGCCAAAAAATGATTTTACTCACTTACTCAAAACTACACAACCATACTATATTTACTTCTAACGACGGCTTTCCTATAAAGATTCAGAAGGTTTTCTTGGTGTGTGTGTGTGTGTGTGTGTGTGTGTGAGTGGCCCAGACCCTGGGTTTCAATACTGTGTATAAAGGCCAAACGAAAGGTCACAGCAAAAAGAAAAGGAAGCCTCTCTTTTTCATAGAATAGAAAAATAATTACAGAAGCTTGAGTCTGTTATTGAAGTAATTTACTGAAAATATGTGGTCAGAAACTAGTACTATATTTAATTTAAAAACTGAACGCAAGTTTTTGAAGCTTTATAGAGACAGTGAAATTAGTGAAAATATAGGATAAACAATCTTCTCACCAGGAGGTAGCCAAAAATTATATTAAAAATTTGCTTCAGTAATGTTTGATGAAAGGTGTAACTGAATAATTTTCAGTGATAATGAAACAGCCTTTTACTGGTGCCATATTCTGGCAAAATGAGTGAATGAATCTTTTTAGCTGCAAGGTTTACATAGATATAAATTTAAAAATAAAATCTGGGGGATGGGCAAAACGGGTAAAGGTGAGTGGAAGATACAGGCTTCTGGTTACAGAATAATTATGTCATGGGCACAAAGGGCACAGCATAAGGGATATAGTCAATGATATTGTAAAAGAATTCTATGGTGACGGTAGCCACAATTGTGGTGAGCATACTGTATAGAGATATTGAATCACTGTGTTGTACACTAGAAACTAATGTGACATTCTGTGTCAAGTATACTCAAATTAAAATTTTTAATTAAAAAATCTTAATAAAGAATAAAATCTGACACTGTTTCCTAAGGTTGCCTTAACAAACTCCTTGCATGGCTGACCAGAGAGTATCATCAGATTTTAAGTGTGCTAAGATCAGATCATCTGTTCCAGGCCAGAGACTGACAAAAGAAAAAGATGGCAATAATTGGGAAAAAAAAGTCAATACCTGAAACATTTAAACAACTTTTATGTGTACTATTATACTTGGCTGAAAGCACGACAAATCTGGGAAAATTTTTCAGCTAGATCAATAATCACTCTGTACCAATACTGCAAGCAAGTCATTGGCTAGCAAGACTGAACTTCATGTAAAAAATGTTTTCAAAAATTTTTCCTCCAAAGGAGATATCAAACAGATATGTGACCAAGGAAATTTGTGTCCCCAGAAGAGTCACTATCAACATGTCCTTGTTGCTTGCTGTTGCTTTCTTTGTTTAGCACGGGCTGGGATATGATCTTGGGGATGTCACTTACACAGCTGGAAAAGAGATTTTGGTTTATAATTATGTTTAAGAGTGAATATGGAAAGAGCCCAAATGTCCCATTGACTGCTGAATGGATGAAGAAGATGTGGTGCATATATACACCCTCCCCCACATACCTACAATGGAATATTACTCAGCCATCAAAAATAATGAAATCTTGCCATTTGCAGTGACATGGAAGGGGCTAGCATATATTATACAAAGCAAAATAAGTCAGAGAAAGACAAACACTGTATAATTTCACTCATATGTGGAATTTAGGAAATAAATCAAATGAACATGGGGAGGGGAGGAAGAAAGAGGCAAATCAGAAAGCAGACTCAACTATAGAGAAAAAATTGAGGGCTACTGGAGGGGAGGAGTCCAGGGGAATGGGCTAAATGGGTGATGGGCATTAAGGAGGGTCGCTGTTGTGATGGACATTGGGTGTTACATATAATGATGAATCACTTAATTCTATTCCAGAAACTCATATTACACTATATATTAACTAACTAGAATTTAAATAAAAATTTGAAACTAAAAAGAAACTAAAAATAAATAGATAGATAAGTAGAAAAAATTTCTTTTAAAAAAAGAGTGAATGTAAAGACTTTAGAGGATCTTTCCATACTGAGAGGACATCAAAATTTATTATTCCTACCAAAAGTTTTTGGCAAATACTGGAATTTGAAGAAGTTGCAAAAAAAATTAACTGAAGTTTGACCATTTCATAGTGAATTGGATTTAAATATGTAAAATAACCAGGAAATAGAGGAATATCAGTGATGATGATGATTATAATCATAGTATTGAGAACAAGGATAAAAATGTTGCCACAGAATATTGAACAAGGAATATTTGTTAGTGCTCCTTTAAAGGAAAGCTACTTAAGCTCGCCTGGATGGCTCAACAGGTTGAGCGTCTGACGTCGGCTCAGGTCATGATCTCACAGTTTGTGAGTTTGAGCCCTGCATCAGGCTCTGTGCTGACAGCTCAGAACCTGGAACCTTCTTCGGATTCTGTGTCTCCCTCTCTCTCTCTGCCCCTTTCCAATTCACACTCTATCTCCCTGTCCTTCAAATGTTAAAAACAAATTTTGAGGGGAGCTACTTAGGGACATCTGCATGGCTCAGTTGATTAAATGTCCAACTCTTGGTTTCAGCTCAGGTCATGATCTCATGGTTCTTAAGGTTTAGCCTTGCATTGAGCTCTGTGCTATCAGTGCGGAGCCTGCTTACTCTCTCTCCCTATTTCTCTTGTCCTTCCCCATTTGTGCTCTCTTTCTCTCTCTCTCTCTCTGTCAAAATAAATAAACTTCAAAAGTAATTCCACAGCTCAGAATGGCATTTAAAAAATAAGATAAAATAAAAGGATGCTTCTTAGATACAAGTGATGTTAAAAGAGTCAGAGGATATTGGAAGAAGTCTATTAAATTAGTCTATTAACTGAGAAACCTGCGTAAGGGCTATCATCTGGTGTTATCTTCAATTTAGTGAGTAGTAAATTGATGTCGTTGCTTCAAAATCTTCAATCAAAATGATACAATAAACATTTCATTTTACTGCATTATATAAGTGCAGCATTTTGTTTCATCTGATTTTTTCACATTTGTTGCTTTACATCTTAAGGATATTTGTCAACTTTCATTTTCTCTAGGAATTTATTACAATATAAAAAAGCAGTAAATAAAATCTACCATTATGTTTTCTCTTCCTATATCATATTCATATCCTTACTTCTGAAAGTTTATGTGATTTTGAAGTGTTATGTAAGAACCATCTAAGGATATACTACAAATGACATTTGATAACAAGGATTTTAGATGAAAGAACATGGATCTATTTTAACTGTCTGGACCCTGAGGGGAAATAGCATTAGAAGACTAAAATAGATATTGAATTCATAGCTTTGACAAATTTGCTGGGTGAATCTGCAGTGATAAGATAGGCCAGCAATCAGTATTTGCTGCAGAACAATGCATCTGTAGGTCCTAATATTCACTCCATGGGCTTATCAGGTTGGCAGATTACTCTTGATATACATGGATCCCTCTAGATAGGTTGCCTTTTTAATCCTGTAGTTATCTCCACTCACAGACAGATGTAAATTCTCAAATATTAATAAATCTGTAAAGGTCTATGCTACCTTTCAGTTTAAATTAATTTCCATATACTTTCCTCCCAAATATTCTATTCAGTGACCAAATGTTAAAATACTAGCACAGTCAAAATTAGATGGCATTAAGCATCATTTAGAGTGGATGAGGATATATATCGCTGCAAAATTATCTCAGATTTAATGCATCGTCTAGTTCCTTATGACTTATAAACTCAAGCATAATTCAGTTCTATTACTCTGTTGTAGAAAACTATAGAGTGTTTCCCTAAATTTTGATCTTCTGATACTTTATTTAGTATGTTTTAGAAAATCTTCTCCAGGGATTTAGCTTCTTGTAACTATGGGATTTCCCTTACAGTTTCCAAATAAAAAGAGCATTGCATGCTCTCTAAGATCCAAATACAGTCAGGTTTGCATGGGGAAAAGCTGTGGGGCTGGGTACCATGCATAATATTAACCAACTTGTGCATTTTTAATAGACATCTTAAATCTAAAACCATATTTCTCAAGCTTGTTTGCAGCCAGGATTCCAGATGTATGGAAGAAGTCCTACACAAGATTGGAAAGCAAAAACTTAGAAATGCTTTCAATAAATTGATTTATCTTGCCAACAGGGCTGGAGTAGTTTAATTTTATCTGGGACAATCAGGCAGCCATTACAGTGTCTGCTTCCTATTTACTTATTCCCTATTCCATATTTATCTCATGCTAAGAAGTTCCAGATGTGTTTAATACTCACTCATTTAATCCTCATAACTTTAAAGGATAGTCATGGTTACTATTCTCATTTTACAGATGGAGAGAACTGAAGCACAACTGCTTTCCTAATGAGGCTAAGGTCATAGGGTTAATGAATGGTGGAGGCAAGATCTGAATTTAGCTAGATTTGCTCCAGAGTCCATGCCCTCAACCATTATGCTGTGGTTACTTTTTCATTTATCTTTCCTAGCATCCCTAGAATTTCAGACACTGAGTTAAGTGTCAGTGCAGTAATGAGATTTCTAAAATAATTTTTAGAAGAACTTTTAGGAGTTGTATACTGTGGCTGTATACCGTGGCTGCATTTGTTTCCAGCTATGCAATATTGAAACTGTGGCTATTTGAGAGATGCTAAGACCTATTTAAGATGGCCCTTTCATCATTAATTAGCAAGTATATTATTGCCTGAAAATGAGGAATTGATTACAAAGGTGCTTGCGGAAAAGACACTCTCAGTGAAATCTAGGATTAACGATTTCACAAGGTTGAGATGAAGTCTGTGAGGAAGCAATTAACACAAAAAGATAAGACACTAGTAACCCATGGCATGTAGTGGCAAAATTGTTAGTGGAAGTATTGCCTACGATCACCTGTAATTAATCTCCTATTGAGAGCAAGGCTTTGACAGACTTAGTGGTATTTTGATCCATGATCATGACAGGTTTAACAGAGCAGTAAAGTTGAGAATGGGAGTTTCTGACCATGCTCCAAAGATAGTGATTTAAAATTTCATCTCAAAGTTTGCTGAGAACACAGGGATCTTTTTTCCCCAAAAAAGTAATCACTTCTTTTTAGCTGCAAAGTTTACATATATGTAAATTTAAAAAGAAAATCTGACCCTTCAGTTTGGTAAATTAAGGCATTCTATTAGTTTCCTAAGCTGCCTTAATAAATGCAGCCTAAGAAGGAGGTAAGCTTAAGGCTTTCCTAAGAAGTAGACAACTTAAAACAACTTAAATTTATTTTCTTTACGGACATCAGAATCTTGCTCCCTGATGGTTATACAGCAGAATCCTTCCTTGCCTTTCTAGTTTCTATCATTTGACAACAATGCTTGGCATTCATTGCCTCGTACACATCGCTCTGGTCACATGACTGTCTTCTCCCTGCATATCTTTGTAATGTCTTCCATCTACATGTCTCAGGGTGTCCTCATTTCCACCTTTTATGAGGACACCAGTCACACTGCATCATGGCCCATCCTAATAACCTCACTTTAACCTCACTTTCTGTAAAGAACCTATTTCCAAATAAGCTTGCATTCTGAGATAATGGCAATTAGGCTCCAACTTCCAGTTTTTGAAAGATGCAAGTCAATTCATAATAAGTATATAAGCTAAATATAAAGTCTCAAACATTTTGTTAAAATTAAGACATTTAGTAAGAGAAAGTGGGACAGTGAAATTGGGAAGCAGATAATCTGATAGCATTCCAGTGACATTCATAGGATTCCCAAACCCCTGCGCCAAAATATAAGACTTCTCCTGACTTCTGCAAACATATATGATGAATCTATGTGAGGAAATAATCTTGATGAGATGCAAATTCTCCTCACACTCCTCTCTTGTTTTCTTTAATTTCTACCAAACTTATAATAAACACATCCAAGATGTTCCAAGAGAGTAATTTCAAAGCCAAAATTTTGTACAGAATAGTTTATACATCAACATAATTACAAGAGTTGTCTCATGTATTAGGGACTCTAATCCAGAAGTCATGTATGGAGATTTTGGGGTTTCTAGATGAAGAAAGGAATAATATAATTGTGCATTAGGCCAAATTTACTAATGTGGAACATCTACCAAAAATTTTTGAATCAATGTGCCAGCTTGAGAAATTAGAAGTGGTTTTAATTGCTGGATCGTTCTGTTGTTATTTGGAAGTCATTGATGCATTCCATATGAAGCTGAAACTCCAGAAACTCCATGACAAAACATAAAGTAAGATAAAAGCATAAAGCAGATATTCAAACACTGAGTGAATTGGAATTTTGGAACTGTTAGATCATACAACATTCATTCCCTAACTATGTTGCTGAGAGAATCCAGAGACAACTAATTTTTTTACTCTTTATTTTTGAGAGAGAGACAGAGTGTAAGTGGAGGGGGAAGAGAGAGAGGGAGGGAGACACAGAATTCCTAACAGGATCCAGGCTCTGAACTGTCAGCACAGAGCCCGATGCCAGGCTTGAACTCACAAACTGCAAGATCATGACCTGAGCCAAGTAGAATGCTTAACCAACTAACCCACCCAGGTGCCCCGACCACTATTTTTTAAAACATTGATAAATCTATTGAATAGTAGAATATAAATTTTCAAATTCCCTGGAACTGTTCTATTTTATATGTAGGAGATGCTACCACTGGAGTAGATTTTGTATTTGGATTTAATTGAAGGATTCCTGGAGTGGCAGAAACAAAGTATTAACATAAAATTGTCAAAACAATGCTCTTTTACTTATTCTTGGATACTTTAGTAGTCAGTACAGCTGTATTGGTAATCAGAATGTAAACTTCAGCAATCATGGTTCTGGCCGATTGATGATATTATGTTCAGGACTTATTGAGTCTCACTAAGGTCACCTTTGATTTATTTAACTGGAATGGGGGTAGGAGGCAGGCAGAAAAGCTCTCTAATTCTGGAGACTGATTTGAAGCTCCTTAAATGACTCTGGCTGTAATTCCCAGTCCTGAGTTAGTTCACAGGTACAGAAGTCCTTGAAAGAAGCTGAGGCTGGCTTCTATTTTGAAAGAACTATGAAATAACTCCATAAGTATACCTTCTTTCTAGTCTCCCCCAAGTGGCACTTGCAGCCATTTATCAGAGAAAATATTCACTGGGAAAAATGCATTTTCAAGGATTTTTCGAGGTGTTCTCTGAGCTAACTCTGATCTCTGGAAACAGAACTCTGTTGTCTACCAGTCAGAAGGGTCTTACATGGCTCAGATGATAAGTGATTCATGGAAAGTTCAGCAGGCCTGGGAAATGATTCTATGGAAATTTCCTTAGTTCCAAGGTTTATAATGTTTTAGTTTTGATCAATAATTTTAGATTCACAGTAATTTGCAAAGGTAGTACTAGGGAGGCTCAGTGTACCCTTTACCTAGTCTCCCAATGGTTATCATCCATAATTATAGTACAATATCAAAACCAGGAAACATTGGTACACTATGTGTGTATAGTTCTGTAATATCATGTGGAATCAAGATACACACCTATTCTCTCAAAACAAAAACAAACAAAAACGAACACCCTACCTCATGCTATCTCTGTATAGTCACATCCACCTTCCTAGTCCAACCCACATTAAGGAGACAGTGAATTACTAACCCTTGGAAATCACTACTCTGTTATTCATCTCTATCATCTGTAACTTTGTCATTTTGAGAATATTATATAAATTGAATTGAAACTCATAAAGAGGCCCAGGATATTTTGTTAAGTGAAATAGCCAGTTATAAAACAACCTATAAGAGAGAGGAGTCTAATTAAAGTTCTCAAAGTGTAGTTGCTTCCCCAACCCTTTAATGAAATTGAAAGAAGACACAGGGAGAGAAGCCTGTCCCACCACTCCCTTCTCTCTTTCTTATATGCTTAAAATTTGCTGTGTTGAAACAAGTACATATGATAACTCTTTTTTTTTTTTTTTCAATTTCTGAATCGTTTTAATGTGCACAGGTCCATTTACATAGTTCCTTCTGATCATTATGTTTAATTATATTTCCCCCTTTACTCTGACATTGCATTTACTTCTTCTGTCTTCTTTTTCTATCCCTGCTTTCTTTTTATTTATTTTATTTTATTTTATTTTTTTACAAATAGTTTATTTATAACTCTTTAAACAATTTAGATGTATCCAGGTTGAAGTTTGATCATCCAGATCCTATAGCATCCCCCACTATTATGCCTCCTCACTGTCTCCTGAATGTGAATTACTTCTTTTTGTTTCTTTTGCTCTCTAGTCATAAATGTCGTATGTGTCCTCCACCTATGTCAGCCCTTCCACACACATCTCATTTCTTCTTAGGATTTTCTTTGTTTTCTCAGCTTACTCAGGCCCGTTCCCATGCAGGGCACTATCTGTCCCACTGAAGTATCACCCTGAGCCTGTTGTGTGTGAACATGGTGCACCTGTGCTTGACTCTGCTTGAAGTTAAGATCATGGAGAATAAGGCTAATTTTTTTTCTTTTCTTCCATTATCTGCTGGAGCTCAAGGCCTGACATAGTATAGCTTACATGAGTACAAAACCTCAGGAATCAGACAGGTGGCCTAGAATCCTGCCTGACTCTATACTTTTCCAACTTTGTGTTTTGACCAAGTAATGTCTCTGCATTTCAATCCCTTCATCTTTAATGATAATCATCCCATAGCATACATGTGAGGAATAAACCAAATTATGAAAAATGCCTAGAATAGTACTAAGCAGATAGAAGAGTTACAACCAAGGGTAGATCCTGTTGCTCTTAAAACTATGAGTAATAATAAAGGCTTATTTGATAGTGTAAGACAAGAAACTGTATCTTACAGGATTTTCTCTCTATGGTGAGAGTATCCTTAAAGAGACTGAAAGAGATTATTGTTGTACCTAAATATCTCTTGGGATGAGGAGGGATTAAGAGAAGGCTGGAAAGGACAGTGAGACTTGTCCAAAAGAGTCATATCCTTTAAGCAATCATCTAAGTCAAGCCACTGATTCATCCAAAGGACAGTACTCCCAGGTGCCTCAGCTTTTATGTCATTAGATCCATGGGGACAGAAGAGTGAATGACCCTCTGATGTGAAATAATTTTCCACAGGCAGGAAAGATAGAGGTAGGGTCCATCCTCCAATCTGTGTGTTTGGGACAAGTTAGACAATATCCTCACCTCCATCAAGTTATTGCTGCTTAAAGTGCGGGCTGGGAGACAGCAGCATCCTCACCACCAGGATACATGTTAGAGATGCAGAATCTCAGGTCCTGTCTCAAGACTGCAAAATTAGAATCAACAAATGGATTTGCACATTTCAGTGTGAGAAGCATTGACTAGTATTGCTTCCGGTTTGTGTGTGCAATTAACGTTTGAGAAGTGCTGGCTTG